TGTGCCCGCCTCGCCCGCCGCCGCGATGTCGGACAAGGAGTTCATGTGGGCCCTCAAGAACGGGGACCTGGATGAGGTGAAGGACTACGTGGCCAAGGTGAGGGGGCCGGAGGGGAGGGTACTGCTCCGCGCCGGGGGGGCTGCTCAGCTCTGCGCGGCCTTGCCGGGTCTTAACTGAGATTATCGCATGCGAAGCTCGGAACTTACCGTATTTGCTGAAAAACAATCCTACGCTGAAAAAATGTGCCAATAAATATGCACGTAAGTATGCAAGTTGGCTTATTTACTTCGTTTCCCTCACTGTAAGACTGCAGCGAGGGACTGAGTGAGACCTGGGTCGTCCAAGTGGAAACATTTCTTTATTTTGAGGCAGGCAGTCATAAAATGCTGGCAGCAGACTCAGAAGTCAGTTAAAGCTTCATGGGAATGACTTGGGTTTTGCCTATGTTGCATCAATTGGCTGCCTTGAAAATTATCGTACATTTTGAATGCTTTTTATTGTATGCTTTTGATTGTATGTCATACAGAGGTTGAAACTATTGTACAGGTATGATAATTATTGTGTACCTGGCAACACTGGTTCTGCCTTGATGGGGGAGTGGCACCTACTGGCCCATCTGGGCTGGCAGCTGGCTTCTGCCCGCCTGTTCCTTGCAGGGCACGTTCGGGGGAAACTTTTTTCATGGTTCTTTTTTTCCTTTTCTCTTCATCATAATTGGGCTTATGATTTATTTTTGGTGGGGGGAAGGCAACCACGTTGGAAGCATTTTGCTTGTCCTTAGTTCTTTCTTTAGGTAGCTGAGGCTGGAGGCCAACCTTACCTTGGCCTTTTTTTTTGTTGCCGGAGCTGTTGTAGGTCTGCAGCTGAGAGCGGGATACCTGCAAAAGCTACGGGGACATGGGAGGGTGGGGATCTGACTTTGTACTACTTCCTGAGAGGGTTTTGGCAGTGTTTTATAAAAGCAGGATGTTGTCTGCTGTGGCTCCCCTGCTTTGTGTGGCAGGTCAGGGTCCTCACAGAAGCAGAAAATGAGGATTGGAAGGGACCTTAGGAGACCATGTTCGAGTCCACCCCCCTGCTCAAAGCAGGACCATCCCCCCCAACTATCATCCCAGCCAAGACTTTGGAATCTTAAAACCTGCAAGGATGGAGATTTCACAACTTCTTTGGGTAACCTGTTTTCAGTGCTTTATCACCCTCATTGTGAGTTTTTGTTGTTGTTGTTGTGTTTTTTTTTTTTTTTTCCTTGGGTCTATGTTCCATCAAGGCTTACAGTAGTTTTACATGGAGCTTAGATTATGATGCATATTGGATGGTTTGGATAAGGATAATTCTGCCTCAGGCAAGGGGTTGGACTAGATTAGTTCTCAACTTTCCTTGTACTGGGACCTATTTGTAAATATTAATGTTCAGTCCCAACCTAGTGCCCCCAGTGTGTGAAGAAGGGGTGGGTGTGGGGCTGTGGGAGGCCCCAAGCACCCCTTGAAAGCTGGGACTTTGCCAGCCTCAGTTTCCCTCATTTTTCTCCTTTAAGGTAGAATACACTTTTAAAGCTTGTTCACAACCCTTTCATATATTCTTGTGACCCACTTTTGGATTGTGACCCACAGGCTGAGAAATGCTGGACTAGATGACCTCTGGAGGTCCCTTCCAGCCCTGCTTCTCTATGACTTATGACCTTCCTGCTAATAGGTATGCCCGTCAAATTAGTGTGAAGAATTACTGTCCCCTCCATTCTCCTACTATGCCAGTGATACCCAGGTGACTTGAGATCCATTCAAGAGTGCCATGTGTTGCCACACAGTGTTGTTAGGTGTGCAATAATGATTCGAAAGATGAAACTAAAGTTTTCATATGGGAATCTAGTGTTTAAAAATGTTCTTACTAGTTTTGGTATTTCTGAATTCTTTGCAATGGAGGAATTGCTATAGTATTTTTTTTCCTGTCAAAAAAACAAAACTAAGTATTTAGCATTTTCCAAGGCCTTGAGTCCAAAAAGGTTGAGAACCACCATGCTATGGATTTAATTATTGCTAATTCTGTTTATCAGACATAGCTTCAGCTTTCCATTGGGTTTTTTGCTGCTAGTCCCACTTACTTGGTTGCTAGCCTCACCTGGAGTACTGTATCCAGTTTTGGGTCACTCACATCAGGAAGGATGTGGACAGATTGGAAAGAAGTCTAATGCAGAGCAACAAAAATGATCAGGGGCCTGAGAGAGAGAACTTACGAGAAGACTGGGGAGAAGGTGGGTGTTGATTACAAATTGTCTTTCAGGTATTGTTGAGAGTATGGAAATGGGCTGTCCTCTATGGCAGAAGTTCCCAAACTTCTTATTGCATACCCCCTTCCATACTTGTCAGCTGTCCATGTACCTTTACCAGCATATGTTTTAACCCTTGAATGCCAATTATTATTATAATGAAAAATTCAATCTGCCTTTACATAATTTCTTGATGCCTTGTGTACCACTAGGGGTGTGCTAGGGTTACCGTATGTCTGGATTTTCCCAGACATGTCCTCTTTTTGGGTCCTCCCATCTCTGTCCAGCTGTTTGTTTGTTTTTTTTTAAATATCAGCAAATGCCTGGGATTTTGCGGTGCCTATGCTTTCTTTGTACCTTCCAGCTTGCCTGAGCCAAGGAGCTGCTTGGGGTTCCTTCCAACTTTCTTCTTCTAGTCCATTGAACAAAATTATTTGTGATTAAATAATGTAATGATGGGGAAGAAAAAGGAGGTGAAATAAACTTTTGTAGTCACTGTCAGGCTTTCTGTTCATGTAAGGAAATAACAGTGCAATGATTCAGACTTTTTCTATGTTTAGTATTAATAACAGTTTGAAGGCTATCTTATCTCTGAAGGCTGAAAACATTTTTTTAATTGTATGTTTGGATTTTATTCAATCAGTATTAGCCAAGCTGCAAATATATATGTACTTTGTTGTTCTGCCAACTAATACTGTTTTCCTAATTTAAAAATAGCGAAGTAGTTTGGTTTTTTTTTTTTTTTAAGATGTAGGTACTTGCATAGACCTCTATGACTGTAGTGAACACTTAGCTGATTTTGAGTTTGAGAGACTTCCCACCTCCACAATACTGGAATTAGGGTATAGAGATAATGGGACTAACTGATGTGTGCTTTTGTGGTAGAGTCCCAAGATGGAGGCATTCTGAGTCCTAGACCTGTGCCTCTTGATGAGACTTCCTGGTCTGTAAGGATATAAGTTGAGAGTTGTATCTGATGCATCAGAAAGAAGAACCAACGCATTTGTATCATTTAGCTTTAATTAATTTTGAATGAAAAGATTGTCCTTGATGATATTCAGAAAGAATTACAAAAATGTAACACCAACAATTCCATGAGACATTTTTTTCCAGAACTTTTCTAGTTATGAAAGGAAAATGGAGAACTTTCACCAAAATTCCCATGGTTTTTCAAGCTTATCAGGCTAGTTCAGGCCAAATAAGCAGTACATTCCAAAAATGAGCCTTTGGAGAATGTCCTGCTAAAGCCTTCCCCCCAGTAGAGAGAGACCTCCAGTTTGAATGCCTTTTCTGTCTGTACATACCGCTGTATGGTACAGGGAAGCTATTCAGTATTTAATGGACTAAAACATAACACAGCATCTGATAAAGTGAGCTCAGATGTGAATCTACCCTGCCTTATGGGCTTAAATATCAAATGGCAATCAATAGAGGACCAATGTGCATTTCTAATGGCATAATATACACCTAGTAATATTTGTGATTGAGAACCTGAACTGTGCACCAACTTCAGTTTCAGGAAGGGTTTTAAGATGGTCCTTTCTGGGTTATAGCCTATGAAGAGATGATTGATGTACCTAATCATGGCAAGATACCTATCCAAAAGAGACCGTTTCAATTTCAGTCAGGCATTAATTAGTCTGTACCAGTTTTTAGCTCCTGCATGTCAAGTAGGAATTGGTACTCTATTTAGACATCAAGACTGCAGTGCTTCTACCCAAGAGTGATGTATCAATCATTGATCAAGAGGGGAAAGAGCATAATCCTCTTGCATCCATAAAATGATATAGATAGAATCTGTCAGCTAGCTCACATCTATACCTGTTTCTCAACCAGGGCAATGAAATATAAATGACAACTTGAAAGGGATGGAGGCTTATGTTGGTGTTTTCATACTGAACATATTGCAATTCCTGTCATCTTGCTAACATATCTGAAGACTGCATATATGTGTATAGAGAAAATGGAACCCTGAAGAATTCCATGTGAAAACATCCTTGCGAAGGATTGTCTATCTGTCGTAGTTTCTGAGAGTCCTGGGCAAAAAAGAATTGTTATTTGAGCAGTACTTTTTGCAGACTGTAAGTGTTCCCATGTCTTGTGATTACTTAGACTTCATGTTTTGATGCAATGTTGTCATGGACACCTGATCTTCATTATGACAAAATGTGTATTAATATAACCAGTGCCACCTTTGTGCCATTTTCAAATTAGTATCTTCAGTATCTAAAGGTAAAGTCTGTCTTGATGCATTCTCTTTCATAACAGCCAAGAATCGGTGACCAGATTCCCCCTATCAAGACTTCCTTGACTAGTAGCCAAATATATGATTCATCTGTGGAGGCCACCTACCTTGTCCTATTAAAGCAGACATGTTAATCTCTAGCAGCTGGTTTTATTGTTCCTTCTGGCTTTTACTGCACATATAGAATGTGGGTCATGGGAGCACTTTGTCAACATTCTTCGCATTTCCAATAGTTCAGACATTAGCACCCCCTCTCTTTGTTTCTGTCTCTCTTGTTTTGTGTCTTTTTTGTTTTTTTTAACTTCAATATAAAATGATTGAAGATTGACTTCCAGTTGATGTGAATTAGTACATCCATCTGTGGTTGTTAGAATATAAATATCTTACTACTTCAGGTGAAACTGGGGTTCAGTTGAACTGATGCGAACTTTAAATCTGCCCTCCTGTACTTACTGTCTTTATGCACAGGAAGGCAGATTTAAAGTTGAATGGGGAGCCAAAACTTTGGCATTCATCTTAAATGTAGGGGTGCACTGGTAAAGATTTTCTTAGCTGATACTGATAGCCAATTATTAACCAGCCATGTTG